ACGAGTATAAACTATGTCCTCAGTGCTATTTAAGATATAGTTACGGATTTAAGGATAGTTTATAGAATGGCAAAAATAAAGCAGTTTCTCATGACGAATTGTGCTGAAATATTTATATAACAGAATTTAAAAATTAGATTTGTTAAAACATCTATTCGGGATAAGACTTTCGAGCGGATATGAAGATAAATTTGCGCAGCTTGTGAACCATTCGCTTAGCGAATGTAAAGCGAGTGTCCTTTAAAAACAAGCTATAAACCATATGTTTGGTCGCATAATGAAAATCTATGTGATGTGTACTTTAGTCATATACATTCAGGAGTAAACAGTCGCACTCGAAGCACAAATGACACGTTTGGAATACCAAATCAGACTCATTTTCTTTAGAATGGGAATTTGCTATCTAAGCAAAAATATCAAATAGAGCCGCAAATTGGATTTTTCGCATAATGGGATTTGTCACAAATAATGAGTGATACCAGCGATTCAAATAAGCCAAAGTATGTTGGGATTAAAGCCTAGAATAAGTGTGGTGTAGAGATGCTCAAAAAGGCACTACAAGCAGACTACCAAATAAGGACTAAACTTTGCAAAATATTTTACAGGATGAAGTTAAATGAATCAAAATGCCTGAGAAATATAAAATTATCAAAGAAATCAAGATTGAAGAAATTGCAATCGAGGAGATTGCCTCGGAAACATTGAAGAAGCTGAACTGATGTTAATCTTTGTCGTATAATTAACGCCAGAGAAAAATTCAAAAGAGAATGTGCTCTTCTTTATGATAAAGCCAATTACAATAAGATGAAATTTCTGGTATCCCTCTCAATGATTAATCACAATCTCACTAAGCATGTATATCCCTTGTTTACAAATAGTTAGCCCCAGATTTCTTAGGAGTAAAGAATAGACCACAGTCCATAGGACTCACCTGCATTCGTGTCTTTACAACATCAAGTGGCGTGTTCGCATAGACAGAGGTGGCCCCAGCTATCAGGCCAAACAGGCCCGTCAATAATTTAGGCACAGGCTGGTTGCTAGAGGTGTCGCCACGCCACTCTCGATATGCCTCTTTGAGGCTCTCCATCACGAAGAATCGGACGGCCTGATTGCTGCCTTGTTTAAGAATTGTTGGTGTGACGCCTTTGTAAAGGCCGGTGATCCCTGACAGAAAATAATTGGTGAAATTAGAGTGACTTAGAAAAGGCAAAAATAATAAGAGGATGTTTAAAGATGAATCAGTGTCAATAGTAAAATAAGAAGCCATAAACCAAACTAAACGGATAAGTAAACTTCCTTTAACCGACTATACTTCAAAATAAAACTTCCTGGACAGGTCCTGTAACCGGTTTTAATAGCTTGACTGATGAGCTTTTGCATAATCTCAGGTGCTGCTTTTCACTGCGAAAAGTAAAGCTTCATTGTGC